ACCCACCGCTTTAGTGTGGACGTCGCTGCCTCTCAGTTGTGCCCAAAAGGCTTGGTTCACGTGTGACGTGGTTCACGTGTGATGTGGTCCACGTGTCACGTGGTCACGTGTGACGTGGTTCACGTGTGATGTGGTTCACGTGTGACGTGGTTCACGTGTCGTCATTGTTTCTTCACCGTCATGGAGGCTTGCTCTTCTTGCTGATCGCCGGGCTGTCAGCTACATGGTCTTCCAGTGGGTTCTTCCTCTTTTTACTTTTTGAAGTTTTGGTTGCTGGAAAAAAGCTTTCGCTTTTGATGTCGCCAGTATTTTCGATCTTTAGCACCGCTGCTCTGAAAAGGCTTCCTCAGCTCAACATCAGGAATAAACTCTCCTGTGTTTTCTTCTAATACTTTCATAGATTAGTTTTCTTTTTCGAGATTGAAATCTTTCGTAGGACGTGTCTGTTGGAATGCAACTAAGAAGCTATCAAGTTTTATATATACATAGATAGATATTTTTAAAGATTTATTTATTTGTGCACACAGAACTGGGTACAGGCCAGAGGCGCAGGGGCAGCGAGAGGCTTCACCAGGGACAGAGTGGGGAGCCGGACAGGCTGACTGATGAAGTCCACTGCTGAGGGGAGCAGCGGGCGGGTCAGGAGAGGTCTGCCGCGCCCTGTGGTCACCTCCAGGGCAGGCGGGAAACGAACTCATGCGGAAGCGGCTTTAGATTCTCAGTGCAGTGCTGTGACCCGCTGCGCCATCAGCAGGTTAAAATATGTATATTTTTAAAATATGTGTATTTTATTTTTATTTTATAACAGTTTATTTTGACATCATTTTGTACATTTTTTTTCCATCTCAATTTAAATCCCCGTGGGTTTCCCATCACCAGTCACCTGTGTGCCATCAAATATGTGTATTTTTAAAAGCCAGCTGCCACCCCAGTATCTTCGAGGCCTCCCGCTTTCCAGCGGCCTGAGCGGCCATCCCCCCGCCGGTGTGTGGCCCTCTGCCCGTTAGCCTGTGCCTTGGAAACACTTCCTGCCACGCGAACTCTGGAGCAGCGCCAGGGCCGCGCCCGCCGTGCCACGGGCTCCCGGTGAACTGGCTGTGTGTTTCCTGTTCTGTTTTACGTTTGCTGCTGCTGCTCTCGCCGGGGGGACTCGTCCGCGCTGCGCCCTCGCGCGGTTTCCTCCTCACTCACCAGCCGCTCGGCGTCGACCTCGCGCCTCTGGCAACACCAGTGGCCCGTTGCGTTTCTCCGGCGTGGCTCTGCGCCCGGGCGGCGTGGCTCTTCCTGGCCGGGCTTTTTCCGGGGCTGGTTCTTCCAGTCTCGCGCCAAGTAGGCGAGGTGGCTGGCGCCTCCAGCGTGTCGGCTTCAACTTTGCCCCGCTGGCTGTGGCGTTGAGGAGGGAGTGCGGAGCCTGCCCGGCCCGCCCACGACCAGCCCCGCCCGCGGCCCCCAGAGACACGTGGAGGAGTAAGGCAGGCCCCGAGGCCGCTCCCCGCTGGCCCTAGCCGACTCCCCGTTCTGCTAGGGCCCCGAGCCCCTGCTCCGGCTTTGAGGTTCCCTTGGTTCTGGCCTCCTCCTTATTCCTCTCATTCCTTAAGCAAAAAATTGAGAGTCCTGTCCCCCGAGCGGGGCGAGGAGTTGACGTCCACTCCACCACCGCGTTTTCCAGCCAGCGCGGCCGGCCCGCGGGTGCCCAGCAGGTCCCTAGTTGCAGCAAGGACCTGGAAGCACATCAAGTCTCGGGACGTGGGCCGGCGCCAGGGCCCGCGGCGGCAGGGAAGGGCCAGGCCAGACTCCAGTCCGGGCTGCGGGCGC